TCACCAAATTTTTTATATATATATATATATATATATATTTTTTTTTTTTAAATACATTTTTACTGATTTGGGAGAGGGAGAGAGAGATAGAAACATCAATGATGAGAGAGAATCATTGATTGGCTGCCTCCTGCACGGCCCCCACTGGGGATCAAGCCCACAACCCAGGCATGCGCCCTTGACTGGAATTGGACCCGGGACCCTTCAGTCCGAAAGCCGACACTCTGTCCACTGAGCTAAACTGGCCAGGGCCTCAATAGATATTTTTAAAGTCTTTCTAAAACGTGACTTTTATGGATTTTCAACTTACCATCCATCTTTTGATATTTTAGTCTTTCTTGACTTTGGTAAAATTATTCTCTTGTTTTTTCTCCTATGTTTCCCTCTTCTTCTTTAGTCTCTTTTTTGGGGTCTTGACTCTACATGCTCTGCCCTCCACTTTTTGTCTAGGATATAGCACTGTAGCACTGACACTGTATTTGCTGATGACTCCTGTGCCTGTATCTATAACACACTCTTATATTTTGAGCTTCAAACATCTGTTTTCACTGGTATTTGATAGACTTCCCATTTGGCTTATTTCATAAGCTCATCTAGCTCAGCCCACTTCACAGGCCCAACACTGTTAACACAGAGTCTCTGCTGGCCAGTGTGAAATTGAGTTTTGTAGCAGATGTAGCCCTCAGCAAGCAGAGCTCAGGCTAAATTTCAGTCCCTACTTTTTCCCCTTCTTAGGACATAATCTGCATAACTGTATACCATACTCGACTGTAATTTTTGAATTTGTTTCACCTCTTCTCTCCCTACCTTACTGCTTTCATTCAGTCTCTGTGATCAAATAAGTCTGGAAAACTCAGTTTAAAATGTTAAACAGATTTCTTTATTACTAAGCATTTAAGAGCTTTTGATATATTAATGTGTGGTGCGAATCCTAGAAAGGAGTTATAATATGCAGCATTTCTCAAAAACATTATCCTGAATTAAGATAATATCCTGGGGAAAAAAACAAATAATATCTTTATCTTTATTCTTTATATTTCCCTATCTTTAGTTTTTCCCCTTTTAGGTTATCCTTCTAAAATGGAACTCTGGGCAACACACCCAATTAATGCCATTAATTGTTTTCTATTTCCTTCATATAAAATGTGAACCCCCTTAAGCATTGCACATAGGCTTTTCCTGATCTGGCTCTTGTATACATTTTCATGCTGCGCTAAGGTTCTTCTTGTTAGCCCTGTCCTCTTAAACTTCTGGGCTTTAGCTCATGCTCTTCATAAAGTAGTGTCTTCCCATTACCCATATCTCATTGGCTTGCTCCTATTGGTCTTCAGGACTTCTGTCAAGTGTTACCTTTTCCAGGAATCCTTCCTAATCCCCTCAGTCCTAGTTAAATGTTCTTCCTTTGTTCCCTCATGCATGGTTTTGTCATGTGTAGCAGTTGTGTTTGTGCTGTATAAAATTTATCTAGTCTACTAGTTAGAATGAGAGCTCCTGGGAGCAGAGATGATATTTTCAATTTCTTTTCTTCAAGGCTCTAGTGCAACAATTTTAAATTAGACTCCTTTAGGTCTTTTCTGAAAATATTCTGGCTCTTTATCCTACTTAGTACCCTTCCCTCCTTCATCTATGGTTCCACATTTATCTTCTCCCCTGCAGATTGATTGATTTTTTCTAAATATATTTTTATTGATTTCAGAGAGGAAGCAAGAGGGAGAGAGAGATAGAAACACAAATGATGAGAGAGAATCACTGATCAGCTACCTCCTGCATGCCCCCACTGGGGATCGAGCCCACAATCCGGGCATGTAACTTGGCCGGAATTGAACCTGGGACCCTTCAGTCCGAAGGCCGATGCTCTATCCACTGAGCCAAACCAGCTAGGGCCACATTTATCTTTTTTATATTTATCATTCGCCCAAGATTTTGTTTGTTTAAAGAAAATGTTCTGTGTCTGAATGGAAGATATAAAGAGGCAAGGAATGGAAAAAGAGAGAGGGAGGGAGGGAAGAAGGAAAGAAAAAGAGAAGAAAGAATGGAAGGAGAGGAAGGAGAGGAAGGAAAGGAGAAGGGGAAGGGGAGGGGGGTGGGGAGGGAGGAAGGGTAGGGGAGAGAGGAGAGGGGAAGGGAAGAAGGGAAAAGAAAAAGAAAAAGAAAAAGAAAGCCGAAACCGGTTTGGCTCAGTGGATAGAGCGTCGGCCTGCGGACTGAAGGGTCCCAGGTTCGATTCCGGTCAAGGGCATGTACCTGGGTTGCGGGCACATCCCCAGTAGGAGATGTGCAGGAGGCAGCTGATCGATGTTTCTCTCTCATCGATGTTTCTAACTCTCTATCCCTCTCCCTTCCTCTCTGTAAAAAATCAAAAGAAAAAGAAAAAGAAAGAAAAAGAAAAGTAGGTTCAGTCCTAAATCTTACACAATGGCCAGAACAGTAGGCATTGGAGAAATATAATCAATTCAGACATCTGCTTAGACAGACTGATATTGAAATGACCAACAGTACTAACCCACCATACCAGTTTGCTTCCCTTTCTTCCAACATACCACAGTTTTTATTTTTATTTTGAGTAACTTTTATCATACTGCTTGCTCTGCCTGAAGTTTCCTTTTCTTCCTCTGAAGAGGTGTCTTAATACATTTTTTTCTCTTTTATTTTATTGCTTAAAGTATTACAAAGAGTTATTACATATGTGTCCTTTTTTTCCCCCCGCCCTTGACAAATCCCCCAGCTCCCCTACCCCCCAGTGTCTTATGTCCATTGGTTATGCTTATATGCATGCATACAAGTCCTTCGGTTGGGTAAGAGATCAATCTTAATACATTTTTTAAAAATTTACTTTATTTTACTTTATTTAACCTTTACAAACTCTTTTTTTCCCTTTTTAAAATTCTTTATTGTTTAAAGTATTACATATGAATCCTTTTTCCCCCATTGACCTCTCCCCACTTGTTCCCACCCACTTCCCCAGCACATGCCCTCACCACCCCCCTACTGACTGTGTCCATGGGTTATGCTTATATGCATGCATACAAGTCCTTTGGTTAATTTATGGGATTGAATTTGACTTGATAAAACGATTTTTTTGTTGTTACAGATAATCTCTGGATCCTGAAAAGTCAACTTTTTGGTGTAATTCTCATATGAATTGCTTGTTTAACTACATCATTTGTAAAATTATTTCCAACCTGATGTAACGTTTTTCTTTTTCAGCTTGTGAAGCTTTGTATTGTGATGATTGACACTGGAAAAGCCTTTTGTGCTGCAAATAAACAGTTTATGAATGGGATTCGAGACCTGGCACAATATTCTAGTAATGATGCTGTAGTTGAGGTTAGTATTTTAAAATTAGTTAAAATGACAAATGCAATAAGACATTAATCAATTATGCATCCATTTGCTTTATGAAGAGTTATAATGGTCCTTAAAATTAGAAGTAGAAAAGCTGTCACCCATTGGTTCTGTCTTGTACAGTTCCGTTTTCTTGGATAGTTAGAAGTTAATGGTTGATTTGTATTGTGAATATAAGTTTACTTACTGTTTGGTGTGCTGAAGCATCTACAAGAAGGATTGAGCAGGAAGAGCAGGATTTTGCTTACTAGTAGCTGCTTATAGAGGAAAGCAGAACATTAACCTAAGAAAAGTGTCAACTGTATGTATAGGGGCTGCATAGGAAAGTTTTGGTAGCTACCTATGCTAGGTTAGCCTAGACCTCTCACTATATTATGTGGTATTAATGACATTTCTTTCATGAAGAATAATAACAGGTGAAGAAATTGGTATAGTTTGATGATTAGTTGATCCATAGATGCCTTCATGAGCATAGTCTTGATACACTCAATTTTACTTTTAGATTTATATATGCCATTCCTATTTGTTAGCATAATACTATTGACAGGGCAGTACTAATTCTTTGACTGTTCTAGGGTTTTATGTTACTACACATAGACTTGACCTCTGCAGAGCATGCCCATGAGATATTGAGATTTTCCTTAGAAATAAATGTTATTGTTAACAATGTAACTTGATCTTTCTGTCAGAAATGCTGAAGTAATGTTTTTTGTGGCCTGTTCTAGTGGATTTTAAATAACTCGTTTTTTTCTTTTGGTTTCTTTCTCATAGACAAGTTTGACCAAGTTTTCTGACAGCCTTCAAGAAATGATAAATTTTCATACAGTAAGTGTCAGTAAGTAGGTATTAATATGACCATGTTATTTTAGTATGTTGTTTTAGTGGCAGTATTTTATGAAATAATTTAAGTTGTAATTCAGTGACTTTGAATTTGTCAACAACTTTTTAGTTGGGTGTTAATCTAAAATGTGTGTGTGTGTGTGTGTGTGTGTGTGTGTGTGTGTGACAGAGAAAGAGAGAGAGGTAGAGAATACATTTTATTTCCTATTCTAAAGTACTGAACTTATATTAATGAGGTACACATCCGTAAGTTTTTTCTTTTAAGTTGTACCTTTGTAAATTTTTAAACAATTATTTCAAGAATGAAGAAGTAATTTAGTTATTTCTTACTTCTTTCAAGATACAAATATTACATCCCGTTTGTTTGATTACTTGCCAGTATTAAAGACTGCTGTAGTATTTGATATATGTGTGTGTTTAATATTTGGTGCCAAGCTGCAGTGGCTCAGTGGTTGAGTGTTGACCTATGAACCAGGAGACCACAGTTTGATTCCTCGTAGGGGCATATGCCCAGGTTGCAGGCTCAATTCCCAATTGTGCAGGAGGCAGCTGATCAGTGATTCTCTCTCATCATAGATGTTTCTATCTCTCTCTCTCTCTCCCTTCCTCTCTGAATCAATAAAAATATATATTTTTTAAAATTAAAAATAATATTTGAGGGCATTTTTCCCCCATGGACAGACAATAGTTCAGGGAATGCCTAGGGAGGGGAAGGTAGTGGAGTGAGAGAGGGTTAATGGGGGGCAGGTGGAGGGACATCTGTAATACTTTCAACAATAAAGATAAATTTAAAAAAATTAAAAAATATTTGAGGGCATTTTTCCTTCAAGAATGAAGGATTATATATTACTTTTGGAATGTTAGAAAATTCCTTTTCAAATTTATAAAAGTTTGCTGAAAATATGGTAGCTTATAAGCTATGTACTTCTTAATTTTTAAAAAACATTAACATATGGTTATATAATTATTTAATTGAATGCTTAAATTTATCAGAAGCTATAACAAGAATATCAACACTTATATTCCTTATAAAATCTGCTAATTTTTGGTTCTTATTTAAGAATCAAAGTTAATTAGAATTTCTTCTTATTTATTACTATTTTTGGTAACATATTAAGCCTGAAGTTATCTGATAATGTTTATTTTAATTGTAGTTCAAATTTTAGCTGTACCAAAATTATCATGCACAAGAACCTACTTCAGTTCCTGTTTTCAATTCTTTTGGGTATATATCTAGGTGTAGAATTGTAGGTCATATCATAATTCTGTGTTTATCTTTTTGAGCTATCAAACTGTTTTCCATAGAGGTTGTACCATTTTACATTCCCACCAGCAATGTATTCATGTTCCAATTTTCTACATTCTTGTCAACACTTGTTATTTTCTATTTTTTGATTATAGCCATTCTAGTAGATGTGAAGTGGTATCTCTTTGTGGTTTTAATTTTCATTTCCCTAAAGACTAATGAAGTTAAGCAACTTTTCATGTGCTTATTAGCCATCTATAATAATAAAAGTATAACATGCTAATTAGACTGGATGGCTGAACAGTGGAACGACCATCCGGACAACCTTCCGGGAGACATTCCGGACGAAGCTGGGGCTGCGAGGGCCACGCCCCTTGCACGAATTTCATGCATTGGGCCTCTAGTTTGTATATGTTCTTCCATCACTGTTGCCCATTGATGTCCTTTGCCCATTAAAATTTTTGAAAAACTGAGTTCTTTATATATTCTGGATGTTAACCCTTAGTCAGATATGTAAAATTTATGTATTATGACATGTAAAATTTTTCTCCCATCTGCAGGTTGTCATTTTACTCTCTTGATAATGCCCTTTGATGCAAAAAGTTTTTTTTTTTATAATTTTTATTTCTTAAAGTGTTAAAAAGAGTATTACATATGTCTCCTTTTTTTCCCCCCCTTGACATTCCCCCGGCCCCTATTTTTTACTGTTGCTCCTGCTTTTGGGGTCATATCCAAGAATCCATTGCTAAATCCCAGATCATGATTTATTCCTTTGTTTTCTTCTAACAGTTTTATTGTTTTAGCTCTAATATTTTGCACCAATTTATTTTTAATGATTTCTTATTAGTTCTCTTTTTGCTTTCCAGTGAGCTTGGATGCCAGTGCATGGTATATTTGATTTCTCTTGAAATCAAGTGGTCTTTTGGATTCCAACTTCTTAAAAAATATACCAGTAGTGAGCATTATTTTTTTGTTAAAAATTGTTGATTTATATTAGCATAGTATGTTAAATGTTTTCTCCATAATTTATCTTTTGTAATAGTTCTGTTTCTGATATTTTTTTAAAATCAGTCATTCTTGTATTTTTGTTTTATATAAGAATACCATGCTCTTTTTTTATAGTTTTATATGTACAAAGTTATGGTTATGACAAACTTTTGGTAAATAAATTGTTTAAATGTATGTTGGAAACTTTGTTGTCAAGAAATTTTACTTAAAAATACTTTATAAATCACTTTCTTAGAGTAAATTAAATCTTCAAAAATCATGTTTGTTTGAAGCAAGGTACATAAGTAAAGTTTGCTTTAAGAGAATTGAGATTGGTCTTTTTAGTGCTAGTCATGTTAATGACTAGCTGATTTCTGAACTGATTACAATAATGTTCGTGTGTTTTTCTTTTCTAAAATTGAAAGCAATCAGTATTTCTTGAACATTGTTTTTAAAAGAACATAGGATTTAGCCCTAGCCAGTTTGGATCAGTGGATAGAGCATCGGCCTGTGGACTGAAGAGTCCCGGGTTCGATTCTGGTCAAGGGTACATGCGTAGGTTGTGGGCTCAATCCCCAGTGTGGGGCATGCAGGAGGCAGATCCTGTGAAGAGGCTCCTTGGTGAAAAATTGAGACCTGGAGCCAACTGCCACGTACATGAAACCTATCATGTACAAGAGGAGCACCGCTCAGCCAGAAGCCAGGCTCACGACTGGCAAGTGCAGCAGCAGTAATGGGAGCCTCTTTCGCCTCCGCGGCAGCGCCAAGGACCCCTCGGGGGATGTCCGACTGTCAGCTTATGCCCTAAGCCGAGGAGTTCCGGACTTCGAGAAGGTGCAGGCCGGGCTGAGGGACCTCTACCCTCCAGTACACAAATGTTATGCACTGGGTCTGTAGTAAAAATAAGTACTGCCTGGCTGGCGTAGCTCAGTGGTTGAGCATTGGCCTATGAACCAGGAGGGCAGAGTTCAATTCCCAGTCAGGGCACATACCCAGATTGCAGGCTCAATCCTTATTGTGGAGCATACAGGAGGCAGCTGATCAATGATTCTCTGTCATCATTGATCTCTCTCTCTCTCTCTCTCTCTCTCTCTTCTTTTTTCCTCTCTATCAATTAAAAAATATTTTAAATAAATAGTTAAATACCAAGAAGTAACAGCCAAAAAAATAGCAAAATCCATTACATTCTAGTAGGAATACTTCATAGCAAATGACCATAATATTAAGGAAACAACCATACATACTTAGTTAAGTAGGGAAAATGTGAAAAATAAAACAAATTAATAGGAGTGAATTGTGAAAAATAAGAGCAAAGGAGAGATGAAATATTGGACAAAAGTCAAAAGAAGTGATGACATGGTAATGCCAGGGGAAAAGTTGTATTGTTTTATTATTGTTTTTTTATCATTATTGATTACTTTGCATTTTTAAGATTAATATGTAAATGGATCTTTGTCTAATTTCTTTCAGTGTAATTATTTTGAGTCTCAATTATGTGATTGTATTTATCAATAGTTTATTTTTTTTATTGCTTGGTAGTACTGTATTTATGGATATATTATAATTTGTTTATCCACTCATCTGATGGATATATTAGTTACCTGTTGTTATTAACAGATTACCCCAAAACATAGTAGCTTGAAACAAAAAGTATTTATTAGCTCACAGTTTCTGGGACAGGAATTTTTAGAGTGGCTGAGTCTTTTATGAAATTGCTATTAAGATGTTGGCTGGGGCTAATCATTTGAAAGCTTCACTGGGATTGGAGGATCTAATTCCAAGATAGATCTCATGTATGTGGCAGTTGGCTCTAGGTCTCAGTTTTTCACCAAGGAGCCTCTTCACAGGGCCACTTAAGTGTCCTTCATGGAATCTGGTCATTCCCAAAATAAATGATCCAAGAGCAATGGTATGGAAAGCTGCAATACTTTTTTATGACATCATATCAGAAGTCACTCATTGTCACTTCCTCCACATCTATATATATAAAAGCCTAAGCAACCATTAACGACCAAATGACCAGAACAACCGGTTGACCAGTTGCTGTGACACGCACTGACCACCAGGAGGCAGACGCTCAATGCAGGAGCTGCCCCCTTTTGGTCAGTGTGTTCCCACGGCCCCTCTTCCCTCCCCCCAGCCAACCTCCCATGGCCCCTCTTCCCGGTCGGCCAACCTCTGCCGGCCCCTCCAGTGGGCCGGCCAGCCCCATCAGCCCTGATCAGGGGGCCAGTCTGCCAACCTCCTGGGGTCCCTCCCTCTGGGCTCCGATTGGGGGGGCTGGCAGGCCAACCTCCCGTGGTCCCTCCCCCCTAGCCGGCCGGCCCCCAATAGGCCTTGATTGCCAGCTAGGCCGAGGGACCCCACCCGTGCACGAATTCTTGCACTGGGGCTCTAGTTATATACTGGTATATTAAAAGTAAGTCACTAAGACCAGCCCACTCTCAAGGGGTGAAGAATAAGGTTCCACTTTTGAGAAGAGAAGTGTCAAAGAATTTGTGGACATATTTTAAAGCAATCATAATGGATGTTTGAGTAGTTCCCAAGTTTTGGTTAATATAAATAAAACTGCTTGTAAAATATTTATGTAAACATCTGTACAGACATGCTTTTATTTCTTTTGTGTAAATAGGAGTAGAATGGCTAGTTTGTAAGGTAGGATTTTATGTAACTCTTTACAAAATTACTTAAATAGCAAAGACTACAAAAGTACACAGCTAAGAGAAATTAAGGAAACATGAATTTTTTATTT